TGCTGGTTATAAACTGACCGTCAATTTGCAGGAGAGGTTTTTTTGTTTTGTTTTGTTTTTTACATTAGAAAGACACATTTGTGTATCAGATACAAGTACAGGATTTTCTTCCCATATATGTATTTTTAAAGACTTTTTATACAGAGAAGATAAAAAGTCAGAAAATTCCCTTATTTAGAGTATATACCTTATTTTTGGTTTTGAAAATAGAGTCACTTAAGATCTATTGCACTGAAAATCCACTCAAGGTGTCTAGCTGTCCCTTTGCTATATAATAATGGGTTTTTCCTCTTTTGGGCTGACTAAAATCGGAACTTTTTGAATAGCAGGATTTTAAATTCTAATGTACCTAAAAAATATCCTATACAACTATAATTTTTTAAAATAAATGCTAAATTATCTTTAGACCTCAAAATGTTTTGAGGGAACTTAAGAATAGGATCTCTTTAACAAACAGCTGTTATGAAACATTTGAAATCCTTTTTTCTTTTATTTTCAATTTAGAATTGAAAATACCTATTTGTTTTAGTGAAGGGATATGATGCCAGGAGACGGATAATTAAAATTGGAGTATCCCTTGGAAAAGGGGTTGGGTTTCATAGTACATCACCGGAGTGTTGAAATAATTTGCATGTCATCATCTCTCCTGAGTTTGAATCAGTACAAAAGTTCATTTGGGCTACATACTTCCTCTGTATATAGTACCTATTATAAAAACATATATAAATTATTAATTTTTCTGAAGAGAAGATGGGCACTAAAAAAATGTTTATCTTGCTATTTCTGCTTATATGGGAGGCAGAATAATGGTTCCCCAAACTTGTCATGCCCTAATTACCAGAACTTGTGAATATGTGGCTAAGGGGCTATGCAAGTGTGACCTTGACAGGGAGAGATTATCCTGGATTATTTGAATCGACCCAATTTAATCACAGAAGTCCTTAAATGTGGAGAGCCTTTCTGAGAGTGACAGTGGAAGGTCAGAGGTTCGACATGGCTGACTTTGAAGTTGGAGGAAGGTGGTTCCAGCTGTGGAATAAAGGCAGGCTCTAGAAACTGGAAAAAGCAAGGCAACTTTTTTTCCAGTGGAGTTCCCAGAAAGGAATGTAGCCCCACTGGCACCTTGACTGTAACCTGCTGAGACCTGTGTTGGACATCTGACTTATACAGAGCTGTAAGATAATAAATTTACATTGTTCTTAAGCCACTAAGTTTGTGGCAATTTGGTATGGCAGCATAGAAAATGGGGGCATTGCTCACTGTGTATATTGTTAAAATGAATACACATTCCTTTGAAGTTGGATTTCACTAGATCACTGAAATTGGGGATTATCATCTTAATTGTTGCCCAAAAAGGGGTCATGAGATAAAGATGATGAGTTATCAAAAATGGTTACTGTGAAAATATAAATGTCATAAGTATTTGACTCTTAAGAATATGTGGCTGTTTATTTCTGTAACAGTATCTGAAGTATTCTCACTTAACATGCTGCTTGCTGCACAGTATCACCATATAGTTGATCAAGTACTTCACTCTCATTCTCTTTAAAAGAACTGCATTAAATTATACTCACAAAACCTAAGTGGTGTGTTTCAATCTGGGTTTCAATATTTAATGGGTATGTAAGTGGATAAGTCTTATGTCTTGGCCTTTAATTTTTATGTAAATATGTAAAATCAGGGCCTTGAGCTAGATTTCTAATGGCAGCATTCTGTTATTCTAAGGTCACCAAGGTTTTCTAGGTCCAAAATGAGCTGGAGCAAAATACTGAAACTGCTTGGTGCAGCACCTGTGAAGCAGCAACTCTGGTTTCCACTAAACAGGGAGCCCCTCTTGTGCTTACAAACCTAAGGGAGAACTTTCCAAAGAGGCCTCCACTGTAAAAAAAAAAAAAGTAGTTAATCAGTTATAGGTATTAAGACTCTGAAAAGGAAAGTAAACCTACACTCAGGGGAATATTGTAATGGAAAACAGCATCTGTGAATGGTTGAGTGTAATTACATGTGCCTTCTACGTGCCAAATAGACTTCATACAGAAAGAGCACCACAGTATATGAAATAAGCACATTGTTTGATTATCGGACTCCCATGTGGCTTAAGTAACTTGAGTTCCTAAGATCCTGCCTTTTAAAATGCCATTTCCTCCCCTTTGATCATACAAAATTATGGTGGTTGCTTTCTCTGTGGAGAAAGTATGCCACATAGTTTATTATCAGGTACCTGATAATAAACTATGTGGCACATTTTTTAGGAAAAACCAGTATATACAGGTTTTAAGGTTCTAATCTT